GAGAGCAATGAGATATATATTATGATTGATTTATAAGGCACGAGAGTTGCATAATGACGGTATATCTAATGTTTTTAAAATATATTAATTTTTTAATATTAAATAAGAATATAAAATATTTTATAATAATATTAATCATCAATTGTCTCGTAACTATATATCTATATATATGAATCTTATATTATAACTAGTGAGATGAGTTACTAGATTCATCAAGTAAGGTCAGGGTTCAAATTATGACGATTGTAAATAGAGTAAATGGGGTTGGGATGGATCACCCTTGTCTGAACTACATGATCTGAATTAATTGATTAATAAATTAAAAAAAAAATTGAAAAAAAATCTATTAAAGGAAGCATTACCATTGCTTAGGCTGTTTTATTGGCTGACTAAATATTAAAAACATTGTAGGTCGATCTCAACATTTTTATTTGTTTACTTTCAAATCATGAATCTTATGTGTCTATGCATAAAAGATGGTTTACTTTGACAATTGAACATACTTTTCTTTATATATATATATATATAAAAAAGGTGAAATCTGATTTAAAGACGACAAAATAAAGTTCAAACCATTGATGTCCAGAATAAGCCATTTGGCACAAATCTAGTCGGAGACTGACGCATCAAATCATTGCAAAAATAAATTTGTGTATACATAAAATTTATCAAAGTCAGGTGTATGATATGAGTCGATTTGATTATTATAATATTGTATGATTATATTATTCTGAGTTTATTTATGAACATGTTTGAACATCTAACAACCGAAATATTGAAACATGGACCGGTATTTGTCTGTGTTGAAATGCAACCGGTATTGACTCATGAAAAAAAACAAAACAAAGACTTGATTAAAACATGGCTTTACTTTGGTTATTAGCTAACGTGAAGTTGGCTGCAACGGACCCCACTCATATTTGTACATAAAAATATAAAAATATTGAATTATATTTGTACATTTAAAATATTGAATTATATTTGTGCTGAACCTCTGTGCTGCAAACCTGCAATTACTTGTATATAAAAATATATATTGAATTATATTTGTACATTTAAAGTATGTATTTTCATTTAGCTGCAAAATATTTTAGAATTTCTTTTCGAAATAATTAACATTAAGGTAAATTACGCATTTAATATCTAAACTATCAGTTTTGGTTTGTTTTAGTACCTAAACTCTCAATTTTTTTAAAATTATACCCGAAATTTAATTTTTGTCTCATTTTAGTACCCTCAATTCAAAATTTAGTGCTAAATTTTGAAAAAAAACTGAAAGTTTAGGTACTAAAATGGACCAAAGCTTTTAATACTGGGACTACTAAAATGAAACAAAAATTAAATGTTGGATATAATTTTGAAAAAGTTAAAAGTTTAGGTACTAAAACATATCAAAACTGATAATTTAGGTACTAAATACATAGTTTACCCTTATCATTAAATTAATATGCCATATACATTTCTTTTCTTTTCTTTTTTTGAATGGACATTTCTTTTTTCTTTTTTTTAAATCTATGTTTTACATATTCATACAAATCTTTATGTATCCAATATTGGCACCAAAAAAGGGGAAATACTTGATTCATGCTTAGTAAAATTTTATTTTAAATTACTTGAACCAAGTTAATTCGGTGATTAAAAGAATAATTATTATTTCTAGAGGTTTCGGCTTCGATACCAATGACTATATGATATTTGAGCGTTCATTATCAAATAGTTGAAAGTCTTTAAAATATATATTATCAAATCTAACTCAAACTAATTAATTTTTCTTGAAAGAGAATAAAATGGCCTAAGAAGTAGGATGAATAAATTTGGATTAAAAAAGTTAAGAAAAATCAAGTTTTGAATTTTTTAAGTTAACCCAAATTAATATTTGATTTTTACCTTCCATGAAATGAAACGACACCATTTCGTAGTTTAGCAATCCCTTTCCCTATTTTCTTTCATTTAATTCGCTATTGATTAAATTCTTAATTTATTTTCACAATCACAATATAGAATGGAAAACCAAATCTTCTTTTTTATTATTAAAAAATCAAATCCTAGTGTTGTATTAACATCTACGAGCATTGAGAGTGCATAAGACATGCAAACCTGTTTTTAGGGTTCACTTATGCAAATATTTTTCTTATAAAAATAAACACGGATAATATATTCGGTTTAACACAATTCAAATTTTATTAAACACGGAGATGAGAAGAATTTCACTAATATGAAGGGCGAAAAAACACGGGAGGATATTGGAGAAATAAAAACTTGATATTTAACTCTTACCCTTAGTATATATTTATAGGAATATATACTTGGTTACAAAGAAAACTAAATAAAGTAAAAAAAAAGTTATTTTATTAAACGCTATTTTAATAAAATTCTTTGCTTTTAATTAAACTAGATTTATTACTTTCTCAATTAAATTGTGCCACTTTGAATTCGAGTCAAACTTTTATAAATCTCCACCTAGACAAATTCTGAAAGTGTGAAGGATTCAAGACAACACACCCAAAATCGACGAGGCACTCAAACTCAACAAAAAATAATATTTTACCAGTAACAATGTCATTTGATACAGGGAGGAAACATCAGCTGTATTATCTAAAACTGTCGAACCCTGTAGAACATGAAATTTGATAGTCTTTCTCTATCCTTCATCACAACAAGAGAACCCTTACAAATTTTCATAGCTTCAATTTCACCCATGAATTTGTATCCTTTCAAAATTAAAATATCTAACAAAATTAAATTTATGCTCAAATCCGGAACGTCTCACATTACCAAGTGTAAGTCATTAGAATACCACTTACCTACACAATTAAATATTTTCCTCATTACATGAATCATGCCTTTGCATATTTCACGGTCTCGGAAGCAAAACAGCTGGAATTTGCAATAACTCGGCCGTATAATTGACCATATATTATCCACCACATAAGAGACAGCCACTTACCATGTTAATTAGAATGGATGGTATCTATATTATGTATTATAATATTATTTTGGACTCACGTTATTAATTTTTTAAAATATATTATTTTCATGCATTTCCTATGTTTGACTTTCCACACCTTATTTTATAAAACCCATTTTATCTTGTTTCTATAAATAAATAAATAAATAAAACTATAAACAACTCCTTGATGAAAATTATAAGAATTGACCTTATATCTTAATATTAACTTGTTATTATAAACTTGACTTAGTAGTTGTAGTGTTAAATCAAGATGTATATAAAGTTGATTTAGTAATTATAATATCAACTTCAAAATTTTAATTTTCCAATATAATTATCATTAATTTCCTTAAGAACTCAAAATATTTGGCCAAAATAATCCACATACTTTTACCCATTCTAAAATAGAAAAATGCTAAATATAAGAAATCTTTTGGAAGGACAGAGAAAACCTATCACACCATTTCAACCATATACTTAAACAAATTAATTTATTTTCCAACATATATATATTTATTGACCTTTGGATCTATTATTCTAATACAAGAAAGGCAACCACCTTGATCATTATCCTCATCATCAATCACACTGGATAAAATCTAACCAATAAAAGTAGGTTTAATTCTTACTTTAGTTGCACGAACTGACTTACCTAATGGTTAAAGGAATCGTTGTTGTTTCTAGGAGTCATAAGTTTGAGCACCAACGGCTACAATAGTGTGATTGAGTGTTTATTGTCAAATAATCGAGAGTATTTAAAATAAATACTACTTTAAATTTAATATAATCTATTCTGTTTATCTCTATAATATTATATGTAGATTTAAATTTATAACTCCATTAGTTGTTTGTTTTAAAGCAATAATGTCAATCTTTCAACAACCTTAAATATATAGTTGCCGTGTAATAAATTTATATCGATGAAATATAATTGATTAAATTTTTACATGATTAATAGGGTAAACTACATCAAAAACCACTTAACTTTAGGTGTTGTATCGTTTATACAATTGAACTTTTAATTTTACCAATTATAGCACTGAATTTTGATTTTCATTTCAATTATACCATTGAACTGTTAAATCGTTAACGACACGACGACGTGGTTGACGGTTGCCGACGTGAGTGGCGATTGTTGGCGTAGAGGCCAGATCAAAACGATGTCGTTTTGTTCTGGCTGTTAATGATTTAATATCCCAGTGGTATAATTGAGACGAAAAGCAAAGTTCAGTGTTATAATTGACAAAATTAAAAGTTTAGTGAAATAAACGATACAATATCTAAAGTTTGATGATATATGATATAGTTTACGCTAACTATTATTGTACGATTCAATATAGTAATAAAAATGATGCTATCATTAGTCTAGAACAATAATTCGACCATTAAAGGGAAAAGAATATAAAATTTTAACAAATGGTGGGTCAAAAGAGGTGGGAACAAACAACCAAAGACGGTATAAACCAACGAGTGTCGTGAGAGATGAGGTGACGTAGGCATGCAAATTGGCATCCCCATTTGAATTTGTCGGGTGTTGGATAATATTTGCAAATAAAAATCATGTGCTGAAATTATAACAATGATTCTGCCCCAAATATTTGTCCTTAGTAGCTGCAGTAGGGGTGGACCGAGGGAATAGGTATGACAGTAACCTCCTAAAAATTAAAATTATTATATATTTTAAATTTTTTATATATTTTTTATTAAAAATTTATTTTTATTCTCTATAATTTATTTTATAATTTTATAAATTTTATATACTTTAAAATTTTAAAAGAGTAAGTTCGTACCTCTTATATAAAATCTTCTGTTCCCGTGTACTGCAGTTATAATTTGTCAGCCATCCTGGAGCCTTTCCATAGTTTGGAAAAGTCAGCCCTTTTCCGTGTGTTTGACTTTCTCCGGCTATGGCTACCCACACGCATATATATTCCATCTCCAACCTCAAAATTCAATCCAATTCACAACTGACCTTTTAAGCAAACCAAGTTTTCTTTTTTCTTGTCTGGGTTGTTGTTGAACTTATCAATCTTTGTTTCTTCAAGCTTCTTGGTTGATTTCTTAAATGGGGGATATTGATGTTCCTCCGTATTTCATCTGCCCGATTACTATTGAGATTATGAAGGATCCCGTCACGGTTTCAACGGGGATTACCTACGACAGGGAGAGCATCGAGAGATGGCTGTTCTCAGAGAAGAGCACCACATGTCCGGTCACAAAGCAAGTTATCTCTGACTGTGAGCTTACCCCAAACCACACCCTCAGGAGATTGATTCAATCTTGGTGCATGCTAAACGCTTCGCATGGAATCGAAAGGATCCCAACGCCAAAGCCACCCATCAGCAAAGCTCAGGTCATCAAGCTTCTCAACGATGCCGAGTCACCGCAGCAACAGATCAAGTGTCTCAAGAGCCTACAATCGATCGCCTCCGAGAATGCTACAAACAAAAGGTGCATTGAGTCTTCAGGCGCTGTTGAGTTCTTGGCTTCCATTGTCAGTAATCACGACTATTCAGCAGCTGAAGGCACATTACATTACGAGTTCGAGTCAATAAGACCAACTGATGAAGCTTTAAGCATTCTCTACAACCTCCAACTCTCAGAAGCTTCTCTCCAGAATCTATTGTTCAACAATGATGATTTCATAGTGTCCTTAACGAGAGTAATGCAACGCGGAAGCTACGATTCTCGGGCTTATGCAGTACTGCTGTTGAAGTCGATGGTGGAGGTAGCGGATCCGATGCAACTCGCCAACTTGAGATCTGAACTATTCATCGAATTAACCAGAGTTCTGCGTGATCAAATATCAAAGCAGGCCACAAAAGCTTCTCTACAATTGCTGGCTGGTATTTGTTCATGGGGAAGAAACAGGATCAAGGCAGCCGAAGCTGGCGTGGTACCGGTCTTGATCGAATTGCTTCTCCATTCATCATCGGGGAGTAGGGCTTGTGAGATGATACTAACGGTGCTGGATGCAGTGTGTGGATGTGCGGAAGGCCGGTCGGAGCTGCTGCAGCATGGGGCAGGGGTTGCCATTGTTTCAAAGAAGATACTTAGGGTTTCTCGGGTTGCAAGTGAAAGGGCAGTGAGGATTTTGCTGTCCATTTCCAAGTTCTGTGGCACCACCATGGTTCTTCAAGAAATGCTGCAATTAGGTGTGGTGGCTAAACTGTGCTTGGTGCTTCAAATGGATTGCGGATTCAAGACCAAGGAGAAGGCCAGAGAGGTGCTCAAATTGCATGCTGGAGTCTGGAGCAACTCTCCCTGTGTACCAACCACTCTGCTCTCTTCTTATCCAGCTTGATTCTATAGTTTCGTGTTTTGTCGGTCATCTATATTTGTGTACATATAATTCTTCATAGATAAAACTACGTAGCAATAGCAGTTACATACATGGGCAAAGAAACTAGTGCCCTCTCACACCAAATGTATACATAGAGTGGTTCACTCCTTTCGATTTATATGTAGAGACTCATTCGTTATTCAATAGATGAGAAGGGAAAAGCGGTTGAACTGAAGATGATGATGATCAATTATCGATATTAGTATAGAGAGACAGCTCGAGAGAGGGACCTTCTCCATCAACATTGTATAGTGACTTATATGTTGGTGGTGTCAAGCTGGTGCTACACTTTAGACGAGTGACTTATTGTAGGTCAGTAAATTAAATAGATATAACTATCAGCTACTAGATTGTATATCTCGTGAGCATGCCAAATATTACACAAAAGATTTGTAGTGTTCATAAAACATGGAACTTCAAAAGTTTTAAAGAATTCCGGAAGATATATAACTCTAGAGGCTTCAACGAATTCCGAAGACCTCAACGCTAGATAAACAGAAAAAACAGTAGCTGGATGTAAATTTATTGAAATGAGATACATAAAACAAAAATTACTATATCAAACCACAAGTAGTGACCTCTTTTATTTTTTTTTCTCACCAATTTTTTAGAAGAATTCATAGAAAACTAATCTAATTGAACCATCCATTTCCTTTCATTTCTTCATAAACCATACATGTTCATTCAATTTCTTCTTGGAGCAAGTATACTTATTCAAATATGCACATATTAATTACAGGAATCAGTCACTATATATAGGTAGGGTATCTTCATCTAGCAGTCAGTCAGGTATTATTTATTATCTTGTACCTAATTTTTCCATTTTTGCATCTTTATCTAGTGATGAATAATTGTCAATATTATGTAAATGTCCCCACTAGATGCCGAGATAAAAAAGTAGGAACATAGGAAAAAAAATATTAAAAAGAAATTAGCAGAGACAACAATGGAAGGCGTTAATGAGGGAGGTGGACAAAGTTGGCTAAAAGCCAGCGTTGGGTGGCCCGGAGGCGGCTTCGGTGGCGGGGGTCAGCGCTCACTACTTTTGATAATGAAGGTCAACCATAGTTCATGTATGGGTCAATCTCTTTGAGTAGTGGTGACATTTTGTGTGTGTTAGGGATCATTTTAAAAAATTGTACGGATTACTCAAAATATCATATTAATAAAAGAAAATTTTATAAATTCTTAAAATTCACCCCAACCCTTTGATCATAAACCCTAAATTTTATACCCTGAATTTTTATTCTTGATTTCACAACTCCTCCCTCTTACAAATTTCCCATATTAGTTTGAAGCAAAAAGAATTGTCTGTCCAACTCAGTTGGTAGAGTACAAGGCTCTTAACCTTGGGGTTGTGGGATCAAGTCCCACGGTGGGTAATTCATAATTAGGAGGTCTTTCACGGAAGCTGCTCTCAACTTGGTGTTGGGGGTAGCCTACTATCATACCTCCCCCTTACCCCATTACATATGGGAATAAGGGTCAACTAATTTTTAGTTTGAAGCAAAAAGGTTTAACAATTCTAATCAATTATACACAATCACTTCATTCACAAGGTAAGTAAAATTTGTTAATCACCTAACTAAAATATTTAAAGAGCTTAAAAATTTAACATAAATAATTTTATTCATAAAAATAAAATTCTAGAAGTTTAAGTATCTCATAATATAATTTTGACATTGTTTGTGATATTTTGGAGAGAAAAAAAGTTTGAAAAACTCCTGATAATTGAGTTTAACAATCTTATGTAGCAATAAATCCTAAGATTAAATGAATTGTAGTTGAATATCTTGTGTACTTTTCTTTTTGAATTCATATATGATAACCAGAATGTTAATTCCATAGATATACAATATTTTGTATTATATATTTTTTAAAATCCATGTTTTATTATAACTCATAAAACAGAGACTAAAATAATTAATAAAAATCAATGATGGGTCCAAAAATATTTGTGAATGCGAGCACCCGTATTAATTATTAAAATTTTTTATATGGGATGTACATAAATAAAATTTCAGAAAATAAACATGTAATCCACTCTAAATATGCTTTACATTTTAGTATTTATTTTCATCACCACAAAAGTAGAATAATACGAGAGAAAATTAGGGATGTCAACGGGTCGGATTTGGGGCCGGATATTGGTCCCCCGTTTAAAAAATTCGTACCCGTCTCCGTTTAAAAAACCGTGGGGATTTAAACGGGGATCCTCATCAGGTAATAGGGAAAACCGCGGGGAAACGAGTATTCCCGTTTAGAATAAACGATTATTTAAACGGGTATCGGGCCGGGTATATATATATTTAAATTAAATATATAAATATTATATATATATTTTATTTTAAATTAAATTTATTAATATTATATATATATATATAATAATTATTTTTAATATTTATCGGGTCAGGTAATCGGGTAATCGGGGTGGGGATTACCAAACCCGTCCCTGTCCCTGTCCCTATTTAGCATAAACGATTTTTCCCGTTCCCTGTTTAATTTGATTTTCGATTTTTCCCGTCCCTGTTTAATTTGATTTTTTATATTTTTTTATTAAAAATATGTTTTAATATCTTAATATTTTATAAATTTAAGTTCACTTTTTTTAATTTTATAAGTTTAATTTCACGTCTTAATTTAAAATTTTATATCCGTCGTGTAAAGGCCACCAGAGGCGGTGGCTCACCGTTCGACGACCATTCTAATCCACGTGATCAGAAATCGTCCCTGCCTGTCATCATTAGATTAATTGATCCCTACGCCGTCGACCACCGACCCTATGTTCAGAAGCGTCCACCTTCACAGTTATTAACTTCTTTATTTATTATTAAAAAGAAGCCCTACCAATCAGATAACTCTACGTATAACTTTACTTAATTTAACATTAATTAGGCTTCTAAATGAATAGAATGTTCAACGAACACTTTATGAATCGTTCGATGAGAAGTTTATTTATATTTGTTTATTTATTAAAAAGATAAATATGAATAATATTTTATGTTTGTTTATTTTTGTTCATTAATATTCATTTATGTTCGTTCTCTTATATTCAGTCAAATTTCTAGACCTATTTGAAATATTAATACCTAATAAATGCTAACTTTAAACACATTAATATTTTAAAACTCAATTAATTTTAAACTCGAATAAAAATAGTCAAATCAATTAAAGAAAATATAAATCCTAAAACTATTTGAAAATAAAAAAAAACTATTCTCAAATATAACCCCAATTAATTTTATGTTCTTTCGTTTACGTTTGTTCGTTTATGTTCATTTACGTTCGTTCATTTGTGTTCGTTTATCATTTTAACGAATGAACACAAACCAACTTAAATTTCTTAATGAATGAACAAAAATTTTCATTCGATTAGTTGTTTGCGTTTGTTCGTTTAAAGTTAAAATAACGAACATGAACATACCATCGTTTAGTTCGTTTATTTCGTTCACAAGCCTAACATTAATAGTTGTTTATTGTTATTTTGAGAGGTTTCCGGTTTTTTAACTATTGGAAATAATATTTAGGGATGACATGAGAGGTGAAAATAGTCATACTTCTTGAAAATTTTAAATTATCATATATTTTAAGATTTTTATGTATTTTTTATTTAAAATATATTTTTTCTTTATTTTTTTAAATTTATCTCCTCCTAAAATTTTAAAGATTTATCTCCTCTAACATAAAGTTTTACGTCCGTTCATAACAATATTCATATGTTCAAATGGTCTAAATAGAAAGTAATATCATCTAACTCTATAAAAAAACAATAAAATTATTTATTATATACTTTTCCTAAAAAAATATTTACTCTTCTATTATTCCCATAATATTCTCAGTACTAAATATGATTGTAGAGTAAGAGGAAGTCAGTTTTCTATTTTATTTTTTTCAATGTTGGCGTATCTGAAAATTTATTAGATGGATATTGCTCATCACGTTAATCGTAATCCTAGCCAATAATATTTTTCATTTTTTTTTTTCAAAGTGAAACTTTACTTCTTTCCTACTTGTAAATAAAAAATTATTTTAAAATTATTTTAAAATTAATAAATACGACTTACTAGAACTATAGATTATGTAATGAGCTGGGACCTGAAGTAATTTCTTGGGATCATATCAAGCTAGAGTGCCCTGATTTTGTCATTTCCAAAAGGCTATTGCATCATTTAGAGTTGGATTTTGATAAAATATTTTTTTAGATTTTTTTTCTATTTTTTAAAAAATAAAAATAAACAACTACTGAGAAATTTCAAAAAGAAAAAGGAATTTAATTATAAAAAAAACAAAAGGGCTTACTTATAATTTTTTGGAAAATTTGAGGAATAAAACATAATTTTTTTAATATTTGGAGGGGCGCCTCTAAACCCATTATTATTTTCTAGTGTATCATTTATCATTTAATAGAACCTACTTGCATGCTTCCTCGCTCAAATAGGGTGTTGGAAAAAAAATTCTTCGTATAGAGCTCTCATCAAATTATTTTCTAAATTAATGTGTTTTCTACTGTTTCAAGCTAAAGACGCATAGTAATATGATATCATTTTTTTTCATGAACTTCCAACTTTGTAGAGAAAAAAATGGGTGAAGACGCAGAGTAATCTTAGGATCTTCTCCAAATTACTGTTCAAAACACTATAGTCTTAAAAATAATTACTTGAATGGACTATTTGAGGAAATTTTTTTCAACACATTATCTCAGCCATTTGCCCTCTACTTGCATATCATGTTTCATAAAATTGTATTAAATTTTAGGGTAAACTACACAGATGACCACTTAACTATGGTCAAAAATCATTTTTACTACTGATATTTCAATTTGATCAAACATACCACCCAACTGTTTAAATGGTTCAATCAAGCTAATGGAGGTTAACTTTTAATGGTTGAATTGACATGGCAGTTAAATCATTTTGATATAATTACACAATTGGTCCTTGTTATTTATATATTATTTTAATTTAATCATAGTTTTAATAAATTAAAATAAATTTAACCCTCGAATCAAGAGGTGTCATGTGTCATTGGTTACACCTGTCATCATTCGATTAATGAACTAAATTTATATTAATTTATTAGATTTATTTT